TTCTGGCTTTACTTGTCTCAACTATGAAACAATGTGTTTTGAGGTTGTTTTAAGATAGTACATGCAAAACCAACCACAAAAATTGCTCATTAATGTTATATCTCAACTAGCACTCTACATCTTATACTTTTATCTTTGATAGCAATCTCTCAGCCTAACACTGTAACCATAGCACCTGTTAACCTTCTGAAGAATTTCCTGAAACAAAAGAGACGTGGATATAAATTCTTATCCAAAGATATAAATAATACAAAAAATAAATAAAGTGGTTTTTATTTCCAATTTTTTATTCCAACAAAGAAAGGAAGAACATGAAATGAAAAGAATGGTTCATACTCAGTGAAATCCATGTTTCTCCCTCAAATACAATTCCTAAAAACAAACCAAAATGAGTGGTATCTCCATGAGATGCAGTCCTTTTTCCTACTCTCTCTAGGAGTCTACCCAGAACCTAGGGTTTAAAATTTGTTCTTCTTTGTCCCAAAGTCTACAGAGATCTAGATGGATTAAACTAGTCCTGGACTTATCTTTGCTGGGTCAGAGTAATCTAGGATTCTTGCAATGGGTTAAACATTTCCAGAAAATCAACGAGTTTGAAAGCAGATTTCTAAATCTGGATCTATTCAATTAAACACAATTCCATAAGTGAAAGCTGTGATGTCACACAACTAGAAATAGCTTTGACATTTGCAATTATAAATCTGTCTTTCTTTTTTGGAGATATTGCCATTATTTCCCCAGCTAAAGGGGACTTTGGAAATCATTTAGTTGAATTTCCATTCCAACACGATATAAACACAGAACAAGGACTTACCTTGATCTTAAGATTTCTAATCTAGTGTCTTCTTACTGCGACACTCAGCCTCTTTATATTAAAATTCTAAAATCAAGCAAAATGTTCTGAGGTGTTAAATTCTTTATATTGAGTACTATTTAATATTCACTTTTTAAATGAGCCCAGCAATTAACTGACTTGTGAAAGAAAGAAGTTTTAAAATATAGGGATACCAGACAGTACTCACCACAATTTTATAAATGTCCCATAATTTCATCTGGGAGGAAGAACATTTTTTCTTATAAACAGAAAGTATTCTATCCCGGGTCTTGGTTTTCTCATTTTCTTAATGCCATATAACCATATAATCACTTTTTAAATTGCTATAACAATTCTGAATCCCTTTTTTACTGTCTCAAAAATAGTTGGCCTTCATCTACTAAGTACAGTGGCTTTTAAACACTGTCATATGCTCTATATTTCAGGGATGACTTCTAGCTACATCAGTTACACAGACCCTGCCAGCAATACCCTGTTTGACTTACTCAGATGCCTCTAGATTTGAGCAACTGGAGGGTTGAGCATTTTCAGAATCTGCATATTAGGTCTGTGGTATAATAACTGATGTCAGCCCCAACTTTGCCAAACATCTCTCATCACTACTAGTTATATCCCATTCCAAACTATTGGGTTTGCTCTCCCTTTCTGGAGCACACCCCCTTCCACATATTTGCAGTATGGATTCAACAATATGACAATAATTTTCTTTCCTAAAGTGTCACTGCTGCAATGCATAAAAATAACTTGTTACTGTTGTCACTGCCTGGTTGGGGGAGGTGGTAGAGGAGAGATGAGAAGTTGCAGTAACTAGTCTGGGTATGTTTAACCCCCTGTCTTTGTCAAAAATATTCCATTCTCCTGGCCCAAGTCTCTTAAACTCCTGCTTATCCAAATCCCCAGAAACTAATGTTTTTTGGAGGAAAAAAAACAAGCAAATGTTGACCTCTATGCTGAGCCTATGGTTTTAACTTGCTTTAGGCTTGAGCCCCGAAATCCACTGGCAGCCACAGGCTTCTGTGAGTGTTGTTTTCTTGACTGAAGGAGGGAAAAGGTACTACATTGCACGAAATAGGCCATGGCATGCTTTCCTTAAGCTTCTAGGACAGTTGAGGGAATGTACAACTCAGCCAGGCAAGTAAACACACATTTAATAGTATGGTAACATGGATCAGGAAAAAGTTATTCTAAAGCATAGCATCAAGAGAGAAAGAATACTCTCCCGTTTATTTAATGTTTTCCTTATGTTTCCTCTGAACAGTGCTTATTCCTTGACAAGCTTTTCCTGCCCACTGCATCTAGCACTTCTCTTCTGGGATGGCTCAAGAACTGTAGCTTCTTGCTGGGTTTGTTTGTTTATTTACACTGCCATTCTTGTTCTCATCCAAACTAACATATGTCTGTACAACACACGTGAAAAGTAAATGTCTTTCTTCGTGTATATTTCCCTGAAGTTGCTCACCAAATTGCTTTTTTACATCCCTTTTGCAATCTCGTCCCATCCGGCTCAAGTATCCTGGATTAGAAAGGTCGTCTCTGGAGTCTTTTTCAAAGGGAGCCTCCCATAGCCTTTAAATCCCCCACATTTTATGGGGCAGATATTCAGGATCTGAGGTATTAAGCAAGAAGGAAAGCAAAGCTGATGGGGACAGGCACCGAAAAATAAAGTAGCTTCTTTTTTGGATAATCATTATGGGAATTGTCCTGTTATCTGTAACTTCTGGTTCAAAGTGATAAACTCAGTCATTTACAACTAGACATTATGCAACAGATGGGGGGGGAGCTATGTATATGTGTGCTTGTGCGATATACAGAAAAAGACAATTCCATCACAGAAAGAGTAACATAAATGGGAGTTCTTAAAAATAAGGCAAAAATCATAATGTTGATGGAGTTATTGCCTTCCTCATAATATCAAACCTAAAGAAAACTATGCCTACTTTCAAAATCCCAACATAAGTATGTAAAGTAATAAATACTTAATTAAGTAATTAACATCAAAAGACGATTCTCTCTGATTCTAATTTTTTAAGCACTGTGAAAAGAATGCATATTTCATGCCCCCCCCCCCCAGCTTTTTTTTTTATTTTATTTTTTTTATCCAAGCCATTTCATCTCCTCAATCCTACTTTTGGGAGGTGTAACAAATACACTACTGAAGGACTTCAGAGACATACTCGTAGAACAATTCATAGCACTGCAAGCTTACAAATTGGAAAAACTAGGGATGATAGCCTGTTTTGCTCCTCTAATTTATCAATACATAAATTGAAGGCAATCCAATAATAGGAATTATAAATGGAGGAAGGAGAAAGAAATACGAAAGTTACTGGCTTTCCAGCAAGGCTTTAATAACTTTCTGAACCTAAATTATTTGAGCATAAGAATCAGTAATGCGTCTATGAATTGGGGACTTTTTCATGGTGGCCTCCCAAAAGTTTGCTGCTGTGTGAAGCTGTAGCGCTACAGAATGTAGTCCTTCAGATGTTCTGTTAAATACAACACTTAAGACAGGTTTATATTAAAATCAATTTGGGGGCTTGTGACTTTCAACTGAATACTTCTTCAGTAACTACTGAAAGCTTGTGCTACTGGAGTGGAGGTGGAAAACTCACTACTGACTAATATCAGGTAGAACGTACACTGCTCAGAAGTGCCGGCCGGCCCTGTCTTCTCCCACCCCCGGGTGGCCCAGGGAACCTTATTCTCTGCTGGCAAAGACCCCCACTTGCACTGGGAACAGAAGAAAGCAGTGGGCCTTTCCTTCCTCCCCCAAGACTGGGAAAATCTTTCCAAATATTATTCCCAGACTCCCAGATAAGAAACCAAAATGCACAACCGAACCTCTCGAGAACACTGGGAGAGTAAGAGAAAGAGCTCCAAGGGAGGGCGAGCGGACTACGAAGGGAATCGCCTGAGGGGAGGAGGAATCTTCCAGATCCGCAGCCAAGGCTCTGTTTGGAAGAGAGCCGCAGCACCACTGCATTTCCAACGGGACGGACCTGAGCGCGCGCACCTCTTGGTCCTCCCCTCTTTGAGCAGGTAAACCACGGCCAAGCTGACCAGCAGCGCCCATTGAGTCTCCTCCGGACCACCCGCCCGGCGCCCAACTGCAGCTACTTTTATTGAAAGAAAGAGACAGGCAACAGAGGAGAGAGACTCTTAGGAAAGCTGGCAAGGAGTCCGCAGCCAGAAACCCTCCGGCGATCCGCCGAGGGGGCGAGGGGAGAGCTGCCCTCGGCCCAGTGGCGCCGGCGCTGGGGGTGGGGTGGAGGCTCGAGGGCGCAGGGGCTCAGGGCCACCGACAGCTGGGTGCGTCCAGCCTAAGGCCGCGGAGACGAGCCGGCCTGGGGGAGGAGGGGACTCCCGCCCGCTGGACCTTCGGCCTCAACACTCCCAGCCCCAGCGCGCCCACCTCTCCCGCCGGAGCTGCCCTCCGAGGGGCTCTTCCCGGCACGCAGTGCCTCGCCTGCTCCCCTCCCCCCCGGCTCGTGTTCTCCCGCAGTCTCTGCAGTGTCCAGAGATGCTCCGCCGCAGACCCGGGACCCCTTAGGCGCCTCTTCCCGTCCCTCTGCCAAATCACAACGCCTGTACTTTTCCAGCTCCCTCTTTCTCTCTTGAAATTGAAAGTTATTGAGGTCGCTCAGGGTTGTTGCTCCAGCAGTTTCCTTCCCCGCCCCCTCCCT